GAGAGAGAGAGAGAGAGAGAGAGAGAGAGAGAGAGAGAGAGAGAGAGAGAGAGACTGGCTAGTCTATCCTTTAGACTTGTTAGGCCTGCTGCCTCAGGAGCTGATAAAACCTGAGAAGTGTAAGAGTTCCAAAAACCTCCCTTAACTTCAAAGTGGTCCTGAGCGGTGTCACTGTGCACATTGGTAAGTATACAGGGGCACAGGGGCGGGAGGGGGGGGGAGGCATGGGGGGGCATTCGGAATGCCCCTGCAAAGAACAGTTCACGCTGCTAAAGGGAAGTATGTTCTTTCGATGGGGCGGCTAGGCCCAGGGGCTGTCAGGAGGCATCCAGGCCCAGCACAATGAGAAGCAGCCTGCCCTGCCCTGCCCTGCCCCAGTCACTACTTGGGGTGTATGTCGGCAGAGACTTGAGGCAGGGCAATGACTGAGCTGGTGCTATGGGGCCTGCCTGGACTCCTAGTGCTTAGGAGGCTGAGGAGGGACAGTTAGGGGTTAGAGGCTAGCCTGGGCTACAGAGTGGGATTCTAGGAGATAGCTCAGTCAGTTAAGCACTTGCCAGGCAAGCTCAAGAACCAAGGTTTGGTTTCTGGAACCCAGGTAAAAGTCAGATGAGGTAGCCAGGGCTTGCAATCCCAGCAATGGGAAGATGGAGGTGGACAGATCCCAGCGGCCTGCTGTCGGCAGCCTAGGTGAATTGGCAAGTCCCACGGCTCAGTGGGATGCCATCTCAAAGAATAAAGTGGATGGCTCCTGAGGAATGGCACCAGAAGTTGACATCTGGCCTCCACATACGCACATACACACACACACAAATTCAAAACTAAAACTTTTTTCCAAGAAAAATTATAAAGGAGAAAAGGAATGAAATTCTGTGCAATGGAAGAGCTGCATGGTGAGTGATGGATGTCATCTGAGATGCCAGAATAGGTTCTGGTACTTTCTTTACAGTTTAACATTAGAATGCCCATGACCTGCAATGCACAGCATTCCCTCAAAAATGCTGATTGAATCTTTATTATTATTATTATTATTATTATTATTGTTGTTGTTGTTGTTGTTATTTTTGTTTTTCAAGACAGGGTTTCTCTGTGTAACATTCCTCATTGTCCTGGAACTTGCTCTGTAGACCAGGCTGGCCTTGAACTCACAGAGATCCACCTGCCTCTGCCTTCCAAGTGCTGGGATTAAAGGCATGCACCACCATTGCTGGGTTCCGATTGAATCCTATTACAAAAGAGTCATGTGTTTTTGGTGCTGGTGTTACAGGATTTAACTTGCATGTGTGATGTCTTGTCCTGGTCTCTCAGCTTTACCGTCCTTTGAGATGGGATGGCATGGGTGTGATCAAGGACTTCCAATGCCAGGAGACGGCGGCTACTTATCCACACTGAAGCACAGGGGATGATGTAAGGGAAAGAGGGAAGGAAGAGGATCACCGACTCTGAGGAAAGGGACCCGAGAGTGTACCCATCGTGAAAGCTGGAAACAAGGAATTTGAAGGAAAGGCTTAGAAAGGCAGCGTCTAACTCAGACATGTAGGGACGTCCATGCAGGACTGGTCTTCACAAACCGGGTCCTAGATGATTGCCTGGGAATTTTTGGCATGCACAAAATCTTATGTCCAGAAGACTTGGGGCCCAGAACCTGCTAGTGATCTTTAAGCAGGGTTCTTTAAGGGTGAGCCCTGAAGAGTGATGCTGGAGACGGAAACACATCCATCAGCTCAGTAAGACAGACAAGCGCAGGGCTTCTTGGAGCAATGTGGGCACCCCATCCCAAGTCTCAGTCTGATCCCAGGACTTAGAGTTCTGTGAAACTTTAGGGCACTGCGTAATTAAGGAAGAGGGATGAAACTAGATGACTTCCCCAGGTCTTCCAAATTCCCTTGTCAGTGATAAGCTGGGCAGGCCTCTCCAAAGATGTGTTCTTAGATCTTTGTAAATCTCCAAATTAGTCAGTACTATCAATATATAGAAATCTCCTCTGTTCCTCTAATAGACTCTACTGTAATGTGATGAGTGATCTCCCAGTTGACAATCCAGTCTCACCTCATCTGTTACTTATAAAGTACTTTCTCTCACACCAACCTCACATGATAATGTAACCATTCACATATTCTTTCTTTTCATTCAAAGATTTTTTTATTATATTTATGAATGTTTGTTTGCATATATGTATGTGTACCACCTATGTGCAGGGCCTACGGAAGCCAAAAGAGGATGTCAGATCCTCTCAAACTGGAGCTACAGAGGGTTGTGAGCAGCCCCGCAGATATCGGGAACTTAACCTGGGTTCTCTGCAAGAGCAATAAGTGCTCTTAACCTCTGAACCAGCTGCCCAGCCCCTGTTCGTTTCTAGTCCTCCTTTTTGCTTTTCTTTCCTTTTGTTGTTGTTTGTTGTGAGACAGGGTCTCTCTATATAGTCCTGGCTGTCCTGGAACTCTCTATGTAGATCAGGCTGACTTCGAACTCACAGAAGTCCTCCTGCCTCTGTCTGAGTCTTACTGAGATACACATGGCAAATAAAAACTGTATATCTTCAAAATATACCCATGATGTTTTGACATACATATCCAGAACTCTGATGGCTGAAGCAAGAATACTGCTGTGAGTTTGGGGCTAGCCTGGGCTACACTTGAGCTCAAGGTCATCCTGGACTATGTAGCAAGATGCTGTGTCAAAAAAGAAAAAAATGCTAAGGTCTTCATGAGCATCTGGGGAGATGCCAGTTGGGAAGAGGACACACATTCGAACCTGAATGCAGATCTCTAACACCATGTAAAAAGCCAGGCACAGCTGTTCACACCTATGGCCCCAACATGGGGTATAGTGGAGACAGGAGGATTGCTGAGGCTTGCTGGCTGCCAGCCTGGCTCCAGGTTCACCAAGAGACCCTGTCTCAAGGAACTAAGGTGGAGAGTGATAGGGCAGACACCTGGCATCCTTGTCTGGCCTCTGCAAATATGTGCATGGGTGTGTATTCCCATACACACACATGTGCACATACTACATACACATCACACACACACACTCTTTCACACACAAAATATAGAAATAAAAGTATACTATCAAATAATCATGGAAAGGAAGGGGACTGCTAAACTCAGGTGAAAGCCTTTCTCTGCCAAGTAACCATAAACCACAACTTCATACTGCCCCAAACATGCAGTGTGCGACTCAGAATCCACATGCCATCACACACTAGGGATGGAGTGCTGCGCCTCACTGATGCCAATTTTGCAACCTGCCTGCTCATGACTTGGAACTAGAGGGAGAGACCTCAGTGAGGCTGCTGGATGTCGGGTGTCCTGCTTCGGCTCCCGTGGAAAGACAGTCTGCTCTCCAGGTCTTAGGTGGTGAAATGAACTGCAAAGGACCGGAAGTATAGAAAGCATGCAGGCCCTCAACTGAGAGCTGTGAAAAAAAACAGGTGCCCCATACACCCGGTTCACAGTGACGCATGTGCGAGCAGCATGCTGGGGACTGGAGAAAAGAGAAAGGTTCTGGTGATAAATACAAACTCATAAGGGTCCCTTGGAAAATGAAGATTGTGTCCACTAAAACAATGTTCCAAACAGGAAGTGTTGAGTAGCCTCAAGTCCTATTTTGTTTTACTTGTACATAAACCGCCTCTCTGATTTTTCTAAGATTGCTGCCCCCCTCCTAAAAATTAATCTAATTTTTTTTCAAAACTCTGAGCTGAAGATTCCAAACCATAAACAAACACATCAGGTGAGTGAATAGGTACAGGGTCCATGCTGTGTCTTACCTCTGTTTTATGAAGCTTCTGATAGTTTCCATTCCAGGAAATGAGCTTCCGGTCCTTCCCTCCTCCCGACACCAGCGTGCCATCTCTCAACATACAAAGTGCAAAAATGCCACCCTCATGGGCTCCTTGGACTGCATAGCTTATCCGATTGGTACCTAAACATACCAGGAAAAGCACCATTAGCCAGAGCAGGGCCACAAGGCTAGCTAGCCTCTGGCCATTGTTAGTCCCATTTCAGTTTGTGTTAAAGGTGTTGTGGTAGGTTATGATATTATTTTAATACATTCCTAGGAAGGACTCAGAGTTTTGACTTTCTCAGAGCCCCAGCATGCAGGAAGCAGACAGCTCCGCAATTGAGGAAAGCATAGTATCACAGGAGCTGCGTGTCTGCGAACATGGACTCTGCATGTATTCGCTGACTTCTCCGTAGTGAGCTGTTTCTTCTTAGCCATTTGTGGAACGGGGCTACAGCTGACCCTGCAGGGCTGTTCTAAGGGTCAGATGAGCATTGTCTACAGTAGGTACCAAAAACAAACAAACAAACAAACAAACAAACAAACAAACAAAAACCACGCACCTTGCCATTCTGAAATTACATTGGGAGGTCTGTCTCCCCCTGCATTCCCAGACCCAATTCTGAGACCCAGGAGGACAGGAGGGTGTGTCTTCCTGAACCTAGCAAACTGGTGAATTCTCGCTGGACTTAACTGGCGCCTCTTTTCCGAGTGATGCTGTCCCTTCTCTAACTGTAGGGGATTCAGATCTGACCTGCGCACATGAGTCTCATCTGTATTGGTGTTGGCAGCACTCCAGCAATGTCTGCCAGATGCTATGTGGGCCAGAAAATTTACCCACATGGGCCACCGCTCTACACCCATTAATAACTTCTGCTTTACCATCTGCTAATGGCTCTCCCAGCAAAATGATCAACTCCATCACAGTGTCCTGACCTTAAAAAGCCTTTACCATGGTATATGCAGCAACGCCAACAACTCTTAATACTTCCCTGTGTTCTCCCATCCTAGCTTTCGGGTTTCACTAAAACCACACACACACAAACACACCTATGCAACTTGGAACTTAGTGGTCGTCCTGTACGTTACACCACCAGCAGCTCCTTTCCATACAGGCCACCTCCAATGTCTTAGTTACAACATTACCAAAACCACCAAACAGCTTCGGGACCACTGCTTGTTACCTTTTCCCCACACCAAGATGTTGCCACTTGAATCGCCGGTAATGGTATCGCCATTTTCAGAAAACGTCACGCAAAGGACAAACTTTGGCTTCTCTTGTTTCTGTGGAATGTAGTAAGTATGCACAGGGATATTATTTGCCGAAGACATCCTTCTACTTGTGTTAATAAAGCTAGGACCCCATTAACCCCAGCTGGATGGTGTCAGTCTCTGCTGTCACCCTGGTGGCCTTTCAGTTTTCTGCACTGTCAGGAATCAGGGGCCTCCAGATGAGTCACTCTAGGAGAAGATTTATGGCAACCCTAAATGGCTGTGGAATCCTAAAGCTACAGACAGTTCGAGCAGGGTGGTGGTGAGGGGGGGGGCATGAGGAATGGGGGACAGAGCACAGAAAGTCCCTGCCACCCTTAGCAAAGCCAGGGTGCCCAAAATAGGAGCAAGTGCCTGTCTCAGGCTGCTTGCCGCTAGCCGCCCCGTCAAGAGGGCCTGACTTTTCTTTCCATTTTATTACCAGGGAGATTCTCAAGGTATGGGAGGGCCTCCCCACCGTCGGGGGGAGGGGGGGAGACCCCAAGGGAGCCTCGTTTCCTCCACACCTCGTGTTTGTCACTAAAACAAGTGCTAAGACTGACCTGTCTCGACGCTCCCTTAAAACCCAGCCCCTCCCATGTGCCACGCAGGCAAACTGAGCCAATGGTGCAGTTCACCTCAAACAACCCTTGCTTCTTGTTAAGGGAATTTCCTTCCAGGGTCCAAAAGTAAAGATGTGACTTCCCACAGGTGACTATGATATTGGTGTCTGTGGGGTGGAAATCCGCAGCAAACACAGCTTCGTTCGAACACTTCAAGAAAAAAAAACAAAAAAACAGAGAATCAAATGCCACAGGCCTCTTACAATGCTTAACAAAACGGGTTGAGCAGGGCACTGCTGGGCCTCTCAAGCCCCACCGACTTCATGGTTATCATGGCTGCTGCCTCTTCCCCTCCCCCCACCCCCGGTGTCTTCGGCCCTGTGGCTGGGAGCCCCAGGGAGTTCTGGCAAGGCAGCTTTTTTTTTTTTTTTTTTTTTTTTTTGTTTTTTTTGTTGTTGTTGTTGTTGTTTTTGTTTTTCGAGACAGGGTTTCTCTGTGTAGCTTTGCGCCTTTCCTGGAACTCACTTGGTAGCCCAGGCTGGCCTCGAACTCACAGAGATCCGCCTGGCTCTGCCTCCCGAGTGCTGGGATTAAAGGCGTGCGCCACCACCACCCGGCAGGCAGCTTTAAAAATGGCAGTGCAGATGTCTCACACCCTTCCCCCTCCCCAGTGACTGGGACCTCTAGGGAGGTCCCAGGACTCCATCCATCCCACGGCTGCCTTATCCTGGCTCACTGCAGCTGCCCTGATTCCCCTGGAGTTCTTCAGTTTGGGGTCTCATGAGGCGGCTCTCTGGCCGCCACATCAGCACCTCTCAATCCATAGTCTTACTTCCAGGACAGGCATCCTGGTCCACTGCACCCAGCCCTGACTATTGCTTCTAGGTAACGATTCAGGTCTATGTCCATAATCCGAGCTAGAACCTTGCCTCTGGCTGCTTCTAACCCGGCACACAGGATGAACCCGGTACATCCCTGCTGGCAACACTAGAAGACAGCGAATGTCAGGTCAGGAAACACATCTGATTAGAATCTAGGTCTACATCCCAGACATGAGACAGACAGCTTAGTAGGTAAGGCTGGTCTAAGTGCAACCTCCCGTAAGGTGCTAAGGCTGTCTGAGCAAGCCTAACGCTATCCGAGGAAGGCCGGATGACGTTTTTCTCTAGGGTTAGGTTAGCTGAGGCTGGCAGATACCAAGAGGAGAAATGAGAAGTCAGTTCTATAAAAATAGGAATCCAGGGGTGCTCTTGACAGAAGAAAACCTTGAGAGCTGCAGGAATGTCAGTTCGACATTCTGTGCAAAGTTGACGAGATGCAGAGTCCTGACCTCAGGGGTGCTGGCACCCATCTCTCCTGCAGCCCTAGTGACTGGCAGGTACTGAGCACACCTCAGTCATCGCCCACCTCAGGCACCCCTCATGGGCGGCAGCCCAGTACATAGTGGGCACCTGGGTTTTTTTGAAGGAAGGAAAGTGAACCCACAGTGACCGAAGGAAGTAAAATTAGGCTTGTCACTATGAAATAAGGAAGAAAAAAAATCTATAGACCCTGGAGGGCAGGAAACACCCTGGCAGGTTTTCAGCAGGGTCTCAGGAGAGAAGAGAGACAGAAGCAAAGAGATCTATCTGACAAGAAGGATTGTTCCCAGGGGTAGGGGTGGTGGGCAGCCCTGGAGCCCGTTGGCTGTGCGGGCAATGCCCTGGGGGTGTGTGTGGCTTAGCCCCAGTGAATGACTTGAGTGAGACCTTCACGTCGGCCAGTCTCTCTTCTTTCTGCCAATCCCACACAGACAGCACATGGTCATTGGAGTCGTCCACAGCACAGAGATGGCTTCCTCCATTCTGCCAAGAAAAAGCATTCACGGGAAGACTGCACATGAGAAAGTGGGACAAACACGACTAAAACATGATTGTTTACTTTTTTTTTTTTTGAGACAGGGTTTCTCTGTGTAATAGTCCTGGCTGCCCTCAAACTCACAGAGATCCGCCTGCCTCTGCCTCCCAAGTGCTGGGATTAAAGCCATGCGCCACCACTGCCACCCCCTGCTCGGTGGTGTGCACTTGTAATGGCAACATGGGGGAGGCAGAGCCAGGTAGATCCTTAGAGCTTGCTGCCAGCCACCCTGGCTGAATCCGAGAGCCCCGGGGCCTCAGCGAGAGACACTGTCTCAAAAACAAGGAAACTGAGGAACAGCAGTGTGGTGAGGTTGACTTCTGGCCTCTGCACGCACACACATGCATGCTCACTCCTACCATGTGCACCTGCAGACACATACATCTATTATATCATAGATGAAGACCGCACACTCATTGTTTTTGAGTCCTGTTTTCCTGGCCAGGCACATGGCTGCTGTAAGATTATATGCAGAGCAAAGCCCTTGGCGGGTGGACAAATGGGAGTGCTTGGTGTGAACATGTACGTGGACGATCAAGTGTGAATGTAAGTCTCCAAACTGAAGTGCCTTAGGTAAGGGTCTGTTGGATCAGCACACCCTGAGAGAGGAGGCTGGAAGCCACATGGCTGGAAATGTTGGATTGGAAATGTTGTACAGGAAATGCGTCCCTGTACATGTTCATACTTACAGATTTTGAGAATGCGATGCAGGTGACAGCCCGGTCAAAAAAGCCTATCCCAATGATGTGCAGAGTGCTCAGTGTCACGGAATCCCAGATGCGCACGTGGGGCGGCAGTTGCTGTTGGGAGAGAATACAGCCACCGTTTATGACTGCCAGCCAATTGCTTCCCTTCACCTCGGAACTATAGAATTGTTCTGGTAGTGACTTCAGCTCTGTCAAACAGAAAGTCCTTTTTCTGCGTTTGAGGAGTCCGTCCACCGGAGAACGTGACTAAAGCATTCCCGGTGGCCTCAGGAGGCACTGGGCCCTGCGGGCAACTGACATGCCAGGAGACGCCTACCAAGTTTCAAACTTTGCCTAGCCGGCCTCTGACAGCCATACCAGAGGAAGTGACACTCCTTTTGGATATTTGTGTTTCTCTAAATTTTAGAAATGACATTTCACCAAAGATAGCATCCGTGTGCCACCAGCAGGCTCGTCGTCATGGAAGGGCGGGGCGGGGGGTGGGCATTGTACCCAGTGCAAAGGCAGGTGTGTGATGAACCTTGTTCTAGTTCAGCCTTGTCTCCCAGTCGTTGGGCACCACATGCCATTGTGTGGCTTCTCTGGGCTTCCCCACCGGTCAAAAATCAGCTCAGATAACTCTAGCTTTCGCTATGGTTCAGATTCAGTTCCAGTGCCAGAAATGGAAATACACTTTTGTGCCACTAGAGGGCGGAGTAAATAGTTGGTTTCTAATTTCCAAGAGCTCCTCCAAGCTTTCTTTCTTTTTCTTTTTTTTTAAAACAGGAACAACCACTCCATTTATGTGAGTTTACATAAAAGTAGTCTGGCTTCTGTTATTTCACTCTTCGCAAGTGTAGAATGCCAATGAAAAACAGCATGAAATTGATGGTTAAAATTGAATATTACGAATACATCGTCTCAGATACGGCTACATTCATGTTTTCTGGTCGGATAAACGTTGATAAAAATGAAGATCCCCGTTGTGATTAGTTTTAAGTAAAACATCACATAAGGACAAGATGTCCAATCAGGGACATGAGAGGCTCTAAGAGTCTTAAAGGAAACATGGCAACCCCACACAAGCCAGCTTGGAAGAGTCTTAGTTGTTAGAACCCACTTCTTCCCTCCCTCCGTCCTTAACATCCGGTCTGAAGTCTTGCTAACACACGCGCAGAGTTCGCCCGAAGCTCCCAGCAGCTTCCATGATCAGCACAAGGCACGGACTCCACCCGTGGAAGGATAACTGGTGGGCACTCCCCCGGCCAAGGACTTCCCGTAACATACGGTTACTTGGTGATTTTAACTCTGCTTATTAGATTAACATCTTTCCATGCTGATCGTGTATGGAGGTGTTCAAGAATTCAAGAATTGATTCTTTGGCAAGACAATGCTGTTTTTAATGTGTTGTTGCTATTTCTCTCTCTCTCTCTCTCTCTCTCTCTTTCTCTCTCTCTGGTTTTTTTGAAACAGGTTTTCTCTGTGTTTCCCTGGCTGTTCTGAAACTCACTCTGTAGATGAGGCTGGCCTTGAACTCACAGAGATTCACCTGCCTCTACCTCCTGAGGGCTGGGATTAAAGGTGTGCACCACCATAACCAGTGATAATGTTTATAAAATTTGTTGAAATTAAGGCGAGCTCTGGGGTGGTGGCTGAAGGTCATGATGACATATTCAGTTTGCATAAGGAGGACTCGGAAGTTCCCAGATGCTCTAGCTACATGTAACCAAGTAGATTCATCAGCAAAATTGTTTTCAGGAGGTTGTTGCTGATTCCTTACAAAAAACAGGAAGACAATGAACAAACCTCACCTTTCCATCCTTAGACGTGCCTGCAACTTGTCCTGTTGCTATGGTGATCCTGTCGGGATGGACCGCTAGGCTAAAACAAGGATATTTATCAGACACCTCCACCACAAAGTCAAGTTTTACTTCCTTTTGATTAACTACAATCTTCCAAAAGTTTAAACACAAGAATCCATTCTGCTTAGCTTCTTACACACTCACCCAAATTCCCCGAAAAGCCCAAAGACCTTAGACAACAAATGTTATTTTTTTTAATATTAACCTATAAGACCCAGAGAAGATGTCTCTCAGCGATCTTTGTTATTTTATTTATTAATTTATTCAAATTTTGTGATCATTGGTATTTGGCCTGCATGTATCTCTGTGTGAGGGTATCAGAAGCCCTGGAACTGGAGTTACAGGCAGATGTGAGCTGCCATGTGGGTGCGGGGAATTGAACCCTGGTCTTCTGGAAGAACAGCCAGTGCTCTTAACCGCTCAGCCATCTCTTTAGCCCCCAAATGTTATTTCATGTATCAGAATCCCCTTATTTCTTCTTGGAGACTTCCAAACTTAAGGAAAGGCATTCTTTGTTGGGAAAATACCACTTCAATCTTAGAACCACTGACTTAGTCCACACCCTTTCTTACAAGTAATTTCTGGGTGTGTTAATTAGGAAAGATGCCTTTATTTCTATCGGTAGGATTTTTATCACTAGTCAGGGATCCAGGAGGACCACAAATCCATCTACCCATGCAGTCACACTCCCAGGTCTTCCCTAAGCTACAAAATGAACTGCAGGCATATCAGACTAAGCCATAAGTACACAACAAAGCACATTTACCTTTATCTAAAATTTAAGACCCAGGTTGAAGCCTTTTACATTTGGTATGTTAAGAAAGCTTCCTGAAGCTGTGCCCCCCCACCCCAAGCAGGTAATCTGGTCACACAGGAGCACAGTGAAGACAGAGAGCTGTGTGAATCTGGCAGCAGAGCCAGAGAACCCAGAGACAACGCGGAGAATAGAAAGAAAGTTTTACTGGCTTTTCCCAGGCTGGTCTCAGAGCCCAGCTTCCCCACCGTCACCCCCGGTATGTGCTCCGGTGCTGACCTCTTCCAGCTTAGGCTAGCTCACCTCTGTTGTAACAACCTGTTTGTGAGGACTCACCACTTGACGTCATCGTTGTGGCCCGCGTAATGCCTCTGCAGCTGCTCCTCCACATTGTAAAGCACCACTACCGACGCGATGAAGTACACGGTCTCCCCCGTCGGGAGCAAGTACAAGTTATTGCGACAGTCTCGGCCCCGGTACCCATAGCTTAGAGTAGTCAAGGTGAAAACAGTTTGCCCTTAAGAGCTGGTAAGGCACTGCTTTATTCAGCAGGCCCCTAAGCACTGTGCAACTATTCCTATCAATTTTACCAATTTAAAGAACACTGAACAGGAAACATGTGCAGGGCACGGTGGTGCACGCTTTTAATCCTAATTGGATCTCTGGGAGTTCCAGGCCAGCTGGGGCTGCATAGTGAGACCCTGTCTCAAACAAAACAAAATCAAATACGCTCTATATCTAGTAGATCTTAGTACCTACATGCCTGAAATAATCTTTCACTGTTCATTAAATTAATGAATTAATTAACCTTGCTCCGGCATTTTAGGAATAATTATTAGTGTCCTTTTAAATTTATTACATTTTATTTAGAGAGAGAGAGAGAAAGAGAAAGAGAGAGAGAGAGAGAGAGAGAGAGAGCATGCGCATGCACGCGCGTGCATGTGCATGGTTGCTACAGTGCGTATGTGGAGGTCAGAAGACAACTTGCAGGGGTCGGTTCTCTCCTTCCACCATGTGGGTCCAGGAATTGAACTCAGGTCCTCAGGCTTGGCAGCACCTTGGCAGGACCTTTACCCACTGAGTCCTCTCACTGACCAATGTTAACTTTATCGTGTGTACTTCTGAAAGCAAAGCATCACTTGAACTTGGGTGTAAAAAATAACCTGGCCAAAATGCCATTTATTTGGAGCAAATTTTAATGTTTCACATCTTTTAAAACACAAATACGGAAACATTCTCTGAATAACCTTTTCTGGATTAGATGTAGTAAACTGCTCAACTTAATCAAGAGGCAGAACCCGTCCACGACACGTGCCCAAATAAATTGCCAAGAAACATCTAATCTTTTGACTTCCATGAATATGATTCCATAATCTCAAATACTAGTTTCTTGACAATGAAGGCAGGGCAGCATCGACTTAAATCAACATCTTGGAGCTTGTCTTCAGAGTGTGACATTAGTCAGTGAGCGGCAGACAATCATGGAGTGTAAAGTCTACAAAGTCTTTGTAGGGGGAGAGTGGTTGCTGCAGCCTTCCCGCACGGTGAAAATGAGTGCGCGGCACTGAGTGGCAGAAACGCATGCCTACACCCCCAACATTCAGGAGACTGAGGCCAAGGATTGCTGTCAGTTCAAGGCAAGGCTACACAGTTAAGACCCTGTCTCAAAAAAAAAAAAACAAGGAAAGGTCCCACCACGGTCATTACAGTCCTAAATTTACCCAGTTTTTTATTATTTTTCCTAAGCTTGCTTCTCTGCGGCTGCCTAACTAACCATTCTTTTAGATTGACAGGCAGGCCATAAACATGACCATTTCCAGGCTGGAGAGATGGCTCAGAGGTTAAGAACACTGTCTGTTCTTCCAGAGGTCCTGAGTTCAATTCCCAGTAACCATCTGTTATGAGATCTGGCGCCCTCTTCTGATGTGCAGGCAGAACAATGTATACATAATAAATGAATAAAAAAAATAAAATAAAAGAGTGTTTGTTACTTAAAAAAAACATGACCATTTCCACGTTGTCTTTTCAGAAAGACAGCGGGTATGCATTTGAACAGGAACCACAATCATGAGTACTTGCTCAGGAATTGCTTCGCCTACATGGCCACATTTGAAAATTTGATTTTTTTTTTAAGTTCACAGTAAAATATTGAACTTTTATGAATCTTTTACCACTAGACTTCCAGAAGTCACCCACCGACAATCGCGCCAGTGCATAAAGGATACACCCATTCCAGCTTCAGCCGCTTGGTCGGCAACTCAGCTTTCGCTTCCAAACTGTAAGAATCCACTTGGTCTTTGGGCATGTACATGGTCACGGGGCGGCCTCGGAGAAACATTTTTACATAGCCCTCTTCTACGAAAGCAACAAAGATGTCAGTGATATATTTCGGCACCCTGAAAGCAAATGCCACGCACGGGCTAGCCTGCCACTGCACAGGTGATCATTCCCCTTGTGTACCTTAAAAGTTTTTTTAAAAAACTCATTTACTTATTTAATGTGCTGGTGAGGGTGGGGTGGGGGTCACATGGCACATGTGAAGGTCAAAGAACAACTTGTGGGAGTCTCCTCTCTCCTGAGTTTGATCCCCTGGGTCCTGTGTCAGGCTTTGGTAAGCAGTTTTATCTGCTGAGCCATCTCACTGGTCCCATTGTCCCCATCTCCTCTCCCACTCCGTGCCAGGTCCTTTTCAATTATTTGTTCCAGAGGAGATAAAACCTAACACACGGGTTGGAGAGATGGCTTAGAGGTTAAGAGCACATACTGCTCTTCCAGAGGAACCAAGTTAGGTTCCAGCATCCACATCAGATGGCTCACAACACTCTGAGGGATCTGCTGCCCTCCTCTGGCCTCTTTTGGTACTTGCATATATGTGTACATACTCCAACACAGAGACACATACACATGCAAACAAAAATTAAGTTAAAAATCTAACACAAAATTAAATAACTTGAAACAAATGTTTGTGTTATCGTTATTTTTGAGCTTCTCATTCAAGTTCACACCATACATAAGACTTTGTAATTGGTGTGAACTAGATGCTAACAATCATTTCCTGGGACATCTGAGTGCAGATATGGTATTGTTATCAGAAGAAAATGTACAATCAAGAATCACAACTAACTCAAGAGACCCACCTAAATCTGTCATTGAGTCCAATGTATATGCAATATCAGTATCAAACTTTAAGAAATATCTTATGGTATTTAAATTGGTTTGTAATATTAGAGTGTAAAATATACTTCCATGTATCTTTTACATTGTACAGTTCTTCCAAATGCAAAGAATGCTAAGTCAGCAGAATGATGAGTACAGGCAAGGATTCAATAAAAAAGAAAATGCTAAATAAAAAAATTTTTGAAACAGAGTTTTTCTGTGTAGCTCTGGCTGTCCTGGAACTTGCTCTGTAGACCAGGCTGGCCTCAAACTCAGAGATCTGCCTGCCTCAGCCTCCTGAGTATTGGGATTAAAGATATATGCCACCACTGCCCAGATAAATAAATAAATCTTAAAATCAAAGCATTAAAATAAAAAAAAATACTTAAAGAGAAGCTAGAAATGGAAAATAAAAAGGGAAGACCCAACAGAGAAGGAGGGAGAGGGAAGGAAAAGAGTGGGGGGGGGGAATCCAAATGGGGGAGGGCTTTCTGGAATGGCTATTTCTATTAAAATAACTGCTTTTTAATTAGAAGATTTATTGTTTTTATGTGTATGGGTATATGCACCACATGTATTCCTCATGTCTGTGGAGGCCAGAAGAGAGCACCAGATACCCTAGGACTGGAGTTCCAGGCAGCTGTGAGCCACCACGTGGGTGCTGGGAACTGAACCTGGGTCCTCTGCAAAAGCAGCCAGTGTCCTTAACTGCTGAGCCATCTCTCTAGGCCCCTAAAATAACTTTTTGGTGTTCTAGTCAATAGAAGGACCAAAGTAAAAACAAAAACAAAATGAACAAACAAAAAAATCAAACCCACAAGGGGTACTCTGACTAGAGTTTCAAGGCTATAATATGAGCAAAGAAAACATGGACTCCAGATGAGTTCAGAGTCAGACCCTCCATTCTGAAGCTCCTGAAGATTGGAGAATCAATAGACTCTAAAGCAGGCAGGGGTAAACAGCCAATACCCACCCAAAACCCCACAAAAAATCACCTTGGAGAGGATACTGATGAGGGTAAGTAGAGAGACAATCACAATCCTTCAACGGCTAAGGCCTTTCAAACAAGGCCACATGCAACACTGTTTGTTACCAAGGGCATGCGCTTCAGATCCCAATGCACGTGACACTCTTCATTCTGGGTTTAATGAAGCTTGACTTTCAGGTAAGAACCATGACTGTGCTCATCCCTGCGGCACACGCGGTTCCAGCCACTGCCCCGGTGATGGCTGGGATGTTTCTCACATGGGCTCACATCCTCCCTGGCTGTATCTGGACAGTCTACCCAAGACTGCCATCCCTGCCCAGCAGGCTCTCTATTGCTCCCTGGAGTCACCTTGTGTACTGTTGCCAATCCCAACCAGCCTGGACTTCACTTCATCTAACGCTTCATCCATGAGGCTCACTGTCTACTTGCTCACCACTCGGCCTAACAGTCCTAACTGCCCTGCCAGGCTCTTTATCTGGCCTCATCTTCTACATCCACCTCCACGAGGATTCTCCCGTCAGGCTGAAGTGTCTCTCAGTACCCGCCCTGTCTTCCCTGTGGCTCCAGCTCTCTCCTTCCCTCCTCTTCTGAACCCCTTCCCTTCTCTAACCTCCCACCCAAGTTGCTGCTCTTCCACTGACCACAAATGGCGACTTGAAAAGCAGCCGCCAGCCCCATCTCAGAGAAAGGAGAAGCAGGAATGATAGAGTTTAAAGTGAAGTGGAAAGTGACTGACTCCACCAACATCAGTAAGACGTGCATCAACCCTGCCAGGGTGGCAGGACTAATGTCCATACAACGGCATTTTCCAAAGACAGAGAGACGGAGCCGATCGTGGGTGCACACAGTGCACACACAGTCTATTGGACAGTCCATTGAAGTTATGTGGTGGTTAGGCTCCAGTGAAGAAGGCCGGTTTCCTTACCTCACCATTAAAAATGACTTACTAGGCCAAAACAATGTTTAGCTGTGTGCCGCTGTGTACTATAAACTCAGATGGCCTACATCTAGAGTCAACATGGCACGGGAAAGCAATGCTGTTTCCAGACATGTTAGGAGCACGACACACAATCACCAAACCCAGAAGTGCTAGTGGGGGAGAGGTCAGTGGTGCAGAGCTTCATGCCAAACGGTGGACACTCAAGGGGCTGCCTTATAGCTCTCTTCAGGTCCGTTCAGACCTCCTACAGTTAGCCAATGATGAGTGGCAATCCAAACCACAGCCACGTGTTGAAGCCCATCCAAGTGAATGTTCAGAGGTGCGCTGGACTTAGGACAAGTTACAGAACCGTTGTCATGCGAGGGGCGCTCTGCCTGTACGAAGCGGTCTCTGGACAGGCGCAGCAGCCTCGTGCAGAGAGCTGGGAAGCTCTGCCTACCTGTGCAGTGTGTCACCCGGCGCTTCCCTTGGGGTTTCGGAGACTGAAGGGCTAGACAAAGAGATGGCTGGTACCGCAAGTGTAGCTGGCCTGTCTGCCGCAGGCTGGTGGCACTCTGCCCCCCAGAGGACAAGGGAACAAGGGGACATTTCATGTATCCTGACATGTACACTCAGGATGCACGCCTGTGGGTTTATGGTAGTTACATTTTCAGGGATAATTGTGCATGGAAGGGGGGAACTGGGAAAATTAAAATCAGATGAATTTATTTAATTACATACTCGTAATTTTTTGCATGTTTAACTATATCTTAAAAATACAGTTAGTATGCTTTAAAAAAAGAGAATGTAGCATCTGCTTTCTTATAAAGTGTGATTTAGAGAGAGATATGGACAGCCATCTATGAAGTATTGGTTTGTAATTTAGGAAGTTAGAGGCAGAGAAGGAGCAGATAATTTGAACAGGTATTTGTGGAGGAGAGACTTTCCCGTGGGGAGAAGTGCAGGAGACTTTGGCTGAGCAGGTGGAGAGATGAAGGGCATCTTTACGGTGGAAGTTCCTGCTCTAACCCTTGCTGACCTCCGTGTGGGTCTGACAAGGGGCGGGGAGTGGTCTAGTCTCTGTGGCTGTTGGCTGGCAATCCTGCTGCTAGCTGAGCTGCCAGTGGCTGCCTGGTTGCACGCACAAACACCAGAGCTGTTTCCTGAGTACCCAAGGCCTGGCTCTGAGGCCACCATTTCCTATTTGCCACTCAGTCAAGGTCTAAATTATAGCCCTCCCCCGATCCAAGAATGAAAACAGAACCTACCTGGACTGAATGCAGGCTCCTTGGGTTTGCTGTGAAAACAAACAAAAAAAATAGTATTATTTATATGCATTTATAATATATGCATATATTTGCACATATACATGTGTTTGTGGTGTGCATGTACATATAGACGTATGTTTGCACATGTGCAGACATACATGTGTGCATGTTCATGTGGAGGTCTGAGGACACGTCATGTTTTTCCTTAATAATTCTCTATCTCACAGATGGAGGCAGGGTCTCCCACAGATGGAGGCAGGGTCTCCCATAGATGGAGGCAGGGTCTTCCACAGATGGAGGCAAGGGTCTCCCACTGAACCCAGAGCTCACTGTTTCAGCCGACATGGCTGGCCAGCTTGCTCCAGAGAGCCTCCGTCTCTGCCTCCCTCACACTGGGTTTACAAAAGCACGACATACCCACTCAGCTTTTATGGGGCTTTGGGAGATCTGAACTCGAGTCCTCACTCATGCATGGTGGGTGTTTAACCCGATGAGCCACCTCCCCAGCCTCCAAACACTTTCTAAAGGGCACCTGGGTGTTTCCTCCCACAGCTCCACAGCCATATGTCACAGCCGTGATCCACATGCATGGTGTGGAAATAATGTGCACTAATTACAAAAACAAGGCCAAACTAATTGCAAAAGAAATACACACACACACACACACACACACACACACACACACACACACACACACACATATGCTCAAAATTAAGTAAATGGGATTGTGATCCTGTTTTTCACCAAAGTGCTTCAAGGAGAGCAGATATAGGTTAGCGGAGAGCAGATACAGGTTAGCGGAGAGCAGATATAGGTTAGCAGACAGCTGGCTCCTCAAGGTGAGAGTGGCCTTGGTGAATGTGTTAGGTTTAACTTTCCTGCTCTCTCAGACGTAAGGAATTTACTTAAAATGAGCAGAGTCCTATTTCCTGCTGAAGAGATACTTGCACATTCATGCTTATGGCTGCACTATTCACAACAGCAAGGGATGGAACCAGCTGTGTGTCCATCCACAGAAGGGATGGAACCAGCTGTGTGTCCATCCACAGAAGGGATGGAACCAGCTGTGTGTCCATCC